TGTTGTGACAGCTCTGCCCCGCCACAAATGATTTCTGTTGCATGTAAATTGTGGCATCAGATGATCTATGGCTGTGCTTCACGTGACCTATAGTGATAATATGTCTGGAATGAAAACGTGGCCGCTCCATGATCTCATCTGGCGGGCCTCTCTCCGGGATATTGACCGCGCTTTGTTTGGAGATGCGTCTTCATTTCTGGCACTCCGGCACCTTCATATTCCCAAATTCCCACCGAGCCGCGTCTCTGCTTTGTATCGGCCGATGACCTTTTTTTTTTTTTCTCCTCAGCAGTCCGACTTGATTAGCACATCAGGCGGGACAATGAGTGGCCGGCTTGTACACAGCCATTACCCAGATCCCTTTATCAATGTCCTGTAATTAAAATGTCACCGTTTAATTTTCAAGCCATCGCTTTCCTCTCGGCGGAATCCTTCCTCCAATAAAAAGTGTAATCGAAATGCTCTTTTCACTGGAAACAAAAAGGGATACAGAGAAAGCGTTTAGCAGCGAGGGGATCAATAGGCCCTGTAGTCCAAGAGGAGGATTGATTGGTCTCTAAAATGGGATTTATAGGGGTCATGGTTTTATAGGGTGCTGATACAACTGTTAATTATAAAACATTTGGCCTCAATTGCTGCTGTTATTAAACCTGTCCTGATTGAGGCGGTCTTGATTTATCTTTTTACATCATTTGACAAAATGCAAGTGTTTGGGAAATAAACGTTTTAACAAGATGAAACACGTGCTGCGGAAAAGTAGGGTCACGCTTCAGCTGCAATCACACGCAGGCGTTTGCATCATAAATCACTGATCGGTGGCATTAAAACACACAGTCCTGTTGGCTGTTTTACACTTAAAGGTGTTATTTTTATTAGACCCTGTTTTTAACACGGATACAGTTTTGTTGGTGTTTCCTGCAGTGGACTTTTATATTTTGACAAAAGCCTATAAACACGTTGTTTCCCATTGTTTATAGGCTACATGTTTGCATGGGACAATAACACAGGAAGTGATGTGACAGTCGTTTAAATAAGAGGTTTGAACTTGATCTCAAGCTGCAGAGAAGACGATCAATCAATAAGTAAATCCACATATGGGAACGCAGTTATAGTATAAACTGCATCACTGGCATGTTTGTAGAGAGTAATAATTATGATTCTGCAAATTATTGAGAGGAATGTGAAGCAAGAAAATTATATTTATATATCACCTCTCAGACTTAGCAAAGTCTTTTGCATACAGAGGGCGAAGATGCACTATAGAACAGCACATAAAACACTGAAAAAAAGGAAATTAAATTAGTTTATTAACAGTGAGCAAACATTTATAATATATCCCAAAATAAAGATACCCAACGTTTCATTAGGGAGATAAGAACGTCTCTCTTGTGATGTTTTGTTCACTGAGTTGAAGTGTTTTGTCATATTGTTTTATTTATGCAGCTGTCCACACAGTCTCCACTCTGTCTGTCAAAAATGATTAAAGCTACACTCTTTCAATAAGAAATCAAACGCTTATTAAACGTTATTTCCAATACAATAAAATAAAAAAAACAGTGGCATTCAGTGTCGTGTTAAATAATCCATCAGGTCTGGGTTCACCTGGTGAGTTGGGACTCTTAATGACTTCAACCTGAAGCGCATTAATGTTTCAGGTTAAAGGTTTGTTTAAACAATTGAGCGCATATCAATGAGGCCCGGGTAATTTGTATCCAACAGTAATAATAAAGAGCTCGCCTAAAATTACTGCTGAAATGTCTAATTAAAAACTCCTTGCTGCTGATCCAGCCACGACAGCTCACGTTTCCCCCGGAATAAGCAGCGACAATGGCTGCATTCAAGTCGGCGGTCTAAATAATTAAAAAGAGAGGAATAATTACAGTATAACATTGTAATTATTGGCGGGGGCTGCAGGGGAAGCCTCTTGGTGGTGAAAGAGGAGAGGATGCGCTTAGGATCAGGTTCAGCATCAATATTGCAGGGAGGTAAAACTGGCGAGCTCAGGCTGCACAGGCTGATGATGCTTCATGCGAACTCCATGGCTTGATACACACACACACAGACACACACACACACACACCCACACACTCTGTCTGTTGTGTCACTCCATTCATCATAAACAGTCCAAAAACGTCCTTATTTGCTATTTCTCTGGTGTCTCTTTCTGTCTTCTTTGACACTCCCAAACATGTGTGTTTATGCATTTACAGTTAACCCTAACCCTAACATTAGCAGCTTAACCCTATATTTCAATACAGATTATGTAAAACCTCTCTGTCAGTTTGAAGGCAGGGCCGGTCTGAGACATTCTGGGGTCCACGGTGAAATTTGACTCACTGGCCCCCCTTATTCCCCCAGCCCACATAAAATACACGTAATGTTTTCTTTATTTCTTTTTTTTTGATTTCTGCTGGCATGTTGTTCTATATTTTGTTATTATTATCAAATCCCACGAAACACCCAAACCAGTGACTTCCCTAAACGTCTACGGAACTCATCCGTTCCTAAGACGTAGCCTTTTTAAATGGGTCACAAATATATATTTTGATTTTCAAAAAAGGATAAATAATTTCCTGAAACAGCTGTGCAAACCTCATTTAAATAGGAGGAAATCGTTAATTTGTTGGGGACTATTCTCAGCAGTGGATAAATACACCAATTGTGTCAGCAGGACAGTTTATGATTCATTATCGTTTTTTTGTATTTTCATGAGCTTTATTGACAAAATGTAGAAAGTTGTACAAGCCAGAGTGAATATTGTTTTATCAGAGCACATCTTGAACACAGGTGCGTAAGTGAATGAAGTTATACAAAAGCAGCTCTTTTAAGGTTTATTGAAAAAGCAACGGTTCTGTCATAAACCTTCAGCAGGAGTGAGGACATACTGATGTGATTTTGACTCCTTTTGATTGTTTGAGGCAGCTCAAGTATGACGATTTCATCTTTCATCTTGTCTATGAGGGAAACATTATACTTTCAGTCAATAAGATGAAACATTGCTTTAAACTAAGTGCTGATAATGTATCCTAATTCATTAGAAATAACAAATAAAATGTCAGAAATAAAAATCATATTTTTTTACTTTCACATAAACAGCTCATAAAGGTCAATAAACAAATGACACAGCCCCAAACCAACACTGGTTGATATTGATATAGATAATTAACTGATAATATCAGATAACAAAATGGGGTCTTTTTTTTTTAAATAGCATCAACACATAATATAAACAAACCCCTAAATATGTTATTTTATATGAACTGTAATGTGTATTTAGAGGGACATTAAAAGTTGACCCGAGCACAGAAAGATTTAACAAATTTATATGATGACATCATATGTCCTGTAACCTGTCAGCGCCCGCTTGTATCTTCTGTATTTAGGTGCTGCTCCAATACCAAAATATCTGACACCAAAATATATGCAATAATATTCCGGCTGACTTATCAGTCCATAGTTGTAGACAGGATGAAGGAGAATATTTCCTGGGTTTATTCCATGGAGAGAATCTGATAGGGAACCCGCATGTATTACCATTTTCAACTTTAGTGCATCAACCAAGTCATGAGGGGAAAGCGTCAGGTAGAAGAAACTCAGCAGGAAAGGGTGGAGTCATGATGTTCAAAAGGCGTGGCTCTTTTTCCATTCATCCCTCCACTTATTACACCCCGTCTGTCTGTCTGTCTGTCTGTCTGTCTGTCTGTCTGTCTGTCTGTCTGTCTGTCTGTCTGTCTGTCTGTCCACTTGCTGCAGGTATCGAGACCTCTCTCTGTGAGGGACAGACGAGGCATCATCTTGGTTAAGCGATCAGCCAATCGATCCGGTAATTAATAATAAATGAAGGTATTCACAGACAGCCTATCGGCTTGATGTCATCATTTACATTACTGACATTTTCATATATATATATATATATATATATATATACAGATGGCTTGATTATTTAAATGTATTTCTAGATAAATGTGTGTGTGTGTGTGTGTGTGAGAGAGAGAGAGAGAGAGAGAGAGAGAGAGAGAGAGAGAGAGAGAGAGAGATAATCTGGCCTGAGGCATCATCACCATCATCATCACCATCATCATCAGCTCATCCCAGATTCACTCACAAACATAAAACATCTTAAAATGCCTCATGATTTGACGCACGAAATTTTTTAAATATTGTTATATTTTCTTGTCCTTCATTTCTCATTCCTCTCTCACTCGGGCCTCAGATTGATTTCCGTGGCCGGTCGTGGAAGCCTAACAGATGGTCGTGTAACTTGATAAATGAACCCGGGCCTTTTGTCATTCTTGTTGCCCTCTAAAATGCCACTCGCGCTGCCTCTTGGTTGTCGGCTCGCTCCCGCTGCGGTGGAAATAATACAGCAGGTGAAATGATGACAGCCGAACTTAAAACACACTCTGCATCATCAGTGCAGACCAGCATGGGGTCCTGGAGGGTCACACACATCACTGTTTCACTCTATTTGATGTCTTTTCGAAGATATTTCCAAGACTATATGTTGTTCTTTTCTTACTTATAGGCCTATAGGCTAACAAATATATTCATGCATGGGTCTTGGGCCAAAAATGCTTCTTAATTTTGGGGTCAGCATGGGGCGTGATCCTGTTCTGTTTCTGATCATGTTTGTGCGTTAGAGCTGCAAATTTGTGAATTATCAAAACTGGCGTGCAGCAGCTCAGCACGTCTTAGAGAGAGGGGGAGGGAGGCGGAGAGAGGGAGAGAGAGAGAGAGAGGTGCCATGTGCTTCCTGTCTACACGCCATTCACCTCCCCAGGATCCAACGGGATGGAGGTCCAGCCTGCTGCACGAAATTAACTGAAATATAGACTCCAGCTCAGAGTTTCCTGTCAGACCTTCTTGTCTGTAGCATAGTACCTCTCTGGACTCCTCGAGCCTGCATTACCATCAATTTATTCTTATCAATTATTTTTTATTTTCATCCCAAACCTTTGTGGAGTGTCGTCTTTTTAGGAGAGAAAGGTATGTTGTTTTTTATTCATCATAATTTAGACAGAAGTCATGATAATTGTGCAGTCGCTCTTTGAAATTTCTAAATTGTATAATAACTCGTCAAATACTGGTTAATCGATTACTGGTTAATAGTTTTATTCATGTCAGTTGTTTTGAAATAATAATAATAGTGAAAGCAGAAGCGGGTTGTTTACGTGTGTTTTAGCGGCCTCCGTGCTGACGAGATGCAAAAAGTAAGTATGCAGGTGAACTTGAGACGGGCCTGCTTCAACCTAGTTCCGTGCAACTGGCTGAGGCTAATCGGCACAGAAGCTTTAATTATATATAGGGCTTGTCTTTTATAAACAACGCGAAGACGCGCTCGTGGATCTGTGTAATTACCAGGAAAGCAGCTTAGTTGCTCTTTTCCTCTCTGCTAAGCGTATTGGCGCAGCTCAGTCTGCATTTTCCTTCTGTCCTTATCCGCGTTTAAGGTTCTTATGAGACCCTTAAGCAGTTGCCCCTTAAGTGACTGAGCCGATTTTGAAGATAAGAGGAGCAGCAGATCCGCCTCCGCGCAGGAACCCGGTTAACTTGAGAGAGGAGGCCCAATCCACGGAGGAATGAACCGATACGAGAAATGATTAACAGGACGTCTCATTGGTTTCACTTTTCAATATAACCTCATGCAAAAGCCGGATGTTGGTTCTTAATTATTTTTTAAATCTTTGTTATTATTTGCATTGTTATTAAAATTATTATTATTTATATTAGTACTAGTTAACGTTAGCAGGTATATAACTGCTACAGCTCCTGAAATTTATTTAAAAAAATTGTTATCATGCAAACTTTCCTCATATCATTTATATTTGATGATATTTAGTTTCACATTTTGGAATTTGGGGAACACGATATTTTTCGTTTTTTTCTTTAACATATTTAGTTTATTGTTTGTCTTTTAGGAACATTGTTTTTGTCACTAGCTAAATGATTTAAAATGATGCACTAAATAATGTCAAACATTCCCCCCGGCTCACTCCAGTTGTCTCTTTGATTGACAGGCTTCCAGGGATGGAGTCGATGCCCGGCCAGCTTCGAGACGCTGGACGAGACGCCAGCTCTTCCCCCAGTTCAAAGCAGGATGCAGCGAGCTTCTCCGGGCCCAGCCCCCTCAAACCGAACCAAGTGAGTGAGACCGCCCTGTACGGGGTGCCAATCGTATGTCTGGTCATAGACGGCAAGGAGAGACTCTGCCTGGCGCAGATTTCTAACACGCTGCTGAAAAACTACAGCTACAACGAGATACACAACCGCCGGGTCGCTTTGGGCATCACCTGTGTGCAGTGCACCCCCGTCCAGCTGGAGCTCCTGCGGCGCGCCGGGGCCATGCCCATCTCCTCCAGGCGCTGCGGCATGATCACCAAACGGGAGGCCGAGAGGCTCTGCAAGTCCTTCCTCGGAGCGCACAGCCCCCCGAAGCTACCAGAAAATTTCGCATTTGACGTGATTCACGATTGCGCCTGGGGCTCCAGGGGCAGCTTCATACCCGCCAGATACAACAGCTCCAGAGCGAAGTGCATCAAGTGCAGCTTTTGCAACATGTATTTCTCCCCGAATAAATTCATTTTCCACTCTCACCGCACCTCAGAGTCCAAGTATCTGCAGCCGGACGCGGCCAACTTCAATTCGTGGAGACGCCACCTGAAACTGACGGACAAAAAACAATCCGATGACATTCACCACGCCTGGGAGGATGTAAAGGCCATGTTTAACGGGGGGAGTAGAAAGAGGACTCTGCCCATGGGCGGGTCGGGAATGTCCTCGTCGATGAAATCGCAGGCCTCGTCCAGCCTGTCCCAAACCAGTTCCTCTGAAATCCCTCACAAAACTTTACGGTGCGACGAGGATCGGAGAAATAATAACCTGAGTTTGGCGAGCGGCGCACGGACCTACCCAGTCATCCCTGTGCCCAGCAAGAGCTTTAGCATGCTTCAGAAAATCCCCCCACCCCTGTTCCCCCATCACCCCTATGGCTTCCCCAGCTATGGGCTGTGTCAGAAAAAGAGCGACGGTGTGCCTGATGCGAGCAAAACCAATGTCTCCGGTGTGTTCTGGCCTGGCGGAAAGGACGCCCTCTACCCTGCCTTCCCTATGTTTTGGCCTACAGCTGGCGGCCTACCCTTGCCCCCCTACTCGGGGTCTCCACCCAAACCACTTCCGGAGTTGCCAGGCGTCCGGCAGGGAGACCTTGACTTATCGGACCAAAGCGACCGCGGCGCAAACACACCCAAAGACACCAACCACCCTCACCATCAGCAGGACGGAGGAGAGCGCAGCTCCAGCTCCCAGTCCTCCTCCACCAGAAACGACGAGGACAAGTCGGGGGACGAGACGCCCCAGAGGAAAATCGGCTACATCTCGGCCTTCAGACCCGTGGTGAAAGACGCGGAGACCATCGCCAAACTCTACGGCAACCGGGACAGCTACGGCGTGCGCCCTGGCTACCTGTCCCCGGATTTTATCAGCGAGAGCTCCAGTTATAGATCGATATCACCGGACAGAGACAGCGTGGTGGACGACGACGAGGACCCGGACGTAGATGTGGAGTCCAATCGGGGACAAGACGAGGAGGAACTGATCCAGATCTCGCCGGGAGGGGGCCATCATGACTCCCCTGTACCGGACCGGGTCTCCTCTGGTGCTGAGGAGAGCCAGGAGCCGCCTGATGCCTCCAGCCCCGCAGCAGCAGCATCACCGGAGGACTCCGTGCACACTGGGTCATCAGATGAGGACAGACGGATGCGTAATGACTCTCCTCTTCATGAAGTAAGATTAGATTAAATGAAACTTTAATGGTGCCCGTGGGGGGAAGTTGAATTGTCGCAGTTGTGGAGAATATGAAACGAGGCCGATAAAAATGTAATCAGGATCAATTGGTCTGGAATTAAACAATTTATATATTTGATAGGCATAATATATATTAAGGGTAAAGGTTAATACAAATTTGTGCTAAAGTGCCATTTGGCAAGGCAGCAAGACTTATGGTAACCTCTAAATTCAGTCAAAGAGAAAAAAGATCAATAAGGAGCAACATTCAAAAATGGACATACATTAGGGTAATCAAAGTATAAAACCCTAATTTATCCTGGTTTATTTATTCTCATTAAAGCAAATTATGTGTATCTGTTCAATTACAAGACATTATTTTACCTCCAAATAAGTGTTTTTGAATTCAAAACCTTCAACAGCTTCACAAATTGCAGGGCTGCTGGTTTGTTTGAAGAAGAAAAACCTCGATTCTGTGAAGAACTGCAGTAAATGACATATAATTGGCCTGCGTCATTAAACACGATTGTCTGCTTCATTTTACAGGTGTACTCTCATGAAAAGGACGGCCACGTGCTCCTGAACGAGCCTTCGTCGTTTGGGTCGAAGCACTCGAGCAGCCCCCGCAGATCCAACGGTAATTATTTAGTCAATTTGGGGTTTTGTTATTAATGCAAATTGGGGCGTTTTTGTGCCCCTTTCCAGTTCAAATGTTTGTGGCTTGTTTATGTTTAGGTGTTCATCACGTGTCTGAAATACAGAACCAACGCAACGCAACATCCTACCAGGAGCAAAAGGACAGACAAGGTTGTTTTTGATGATTTTACATTTCATTATTCTTGATTTAAAAATCCACCCGTTCTGATATATTGTAGTTGCTTCGCTGTATTTCACCAGAGGCCCTTCGTGATATATTTGTAATATATGACTTGTTTGTAGCATAATTAATTAACGTGTTTTGTTGTTTTTGTGTGCAGCCGATGGAGCTTTACGCATCGACATCAGCGTGCATGAAAGAGACCTAGAGACCATGGCTAAAGGTAAGAGGCTGTTTTCGGGATCAAAAGGAAATAAAAGAGAGAGCAGGTGATATTAATTATCATCAGCAATTATTCCTGTTTTGATTTGTAATGTGCCAGCAAACAAATATATATTTATAAAGCATTTAGACTGCTGACATCGTCACTACATTTCATTAAGCTATTTATTTTTTTTATTTTTAAATGTAAGAGAAAAAAATATGTATTCCTATTGTTTTTTTTATTTAATTAAAATAAAGACAATTAATTGATTTTAGTTTGAATTTCAGAATTTATAAACCGAAATTAAACTCGACCCTTCGTCCAGAGTTGTTTAATTATCAAATGTGAAAAAAAAACAATATATGTATTATATTAATATTAAACATTGAATTCCACCTCATTTTAAATGCAGCTAAAGGCCCACGGCCTGCTAAAAATGACGTGCCGAAATCACAAAATGTGAATTTACATTTTGTAGGCCTAAAGTGTTTCCATAGTTGTTAACCACTTAATCACGAGATGTGGGAGTTTTGACTTATTATTGTAAGAGGAAATCGTTTAGAGGCTATTAATATTTTAACGAACAGAGCCATAACCCCGAGGCACGGCAGCTAATTATTTTACAACGCTTGGAAAAACCCCGGGACTCCATTATCATCGTCTCAACCTCCAGGCAATGCATAGCAATTACTGTGGCAGCAAGCGAGAGCAAAGCGGCAAAATGGGTGTTATCAAGGATGTAAACGCACCTGAAGTCGCTTTACTGGGCTGACATAAATCTTTATGTGCAGAAATTCAAAATATATCATAGTAAGTGGAATCAAATTGGTGCGAGGTAGATGAGGACAGAGAATAAAATGTTACATTTTTGTGATTTCTGCAGATATTTGTTGTTATCGGTGGTGATGGTGCATGATTTCTGATTGCAGCACTTCCCTGCTTGTTATTCAGAAGTCCTGTAGGTGTCAGATGGGCTTTGTCCCAGTGTTTGAGGGTGAATAATGACATTTCCTTGCAGCAGATGAAAAGAAGTTGGTGATGAAATTGACCATTTTTTATTTTTTTTGGCTTTTGGCTTTGCAGAGGAATTGCAGAAGCAGCTTGTGGAACAAGTGGAGTTGAGGAAAAAGTTGGAGAGAGAATTTCAGCATTTAAAAGGTAGGACAAAAGTGAGTCAAAGTCACAGAGGGATGTGTTTTGTGCTCGCAGCCTAGATGTTAGGAGAAGAGCCGGTTACATTTTATCCTTCGAATCCAGGAATGTGTCTTTGAATTTATCCCCTACAATGTCAGCGAGTTTCCATCTGATGTGGCCTTCGGTACTCTTCAGATAATTTTCAGGATCAAATGAAGCGTGAGCTGTCCTACAGAGAGGAAATGGTCCAGCAGCTGCAGATTGTTCGAGGTTGGTCTCCCTCTCTCTCTCTCTCTATACTTTGTGCCTCCTTAGATTATGACTGTAACGCAGATGTAGATCAATGCTCTTTAACTTTATGGGGGGAAAAATTCAAGCCACAAAAAAAACAATATTTAAATAACACATCAGGCCAATCAATCTGAACCAACTAGCCTCTGAACTAAAAAAGAAATGAAAAGTGACACTTGCATATTGACATATTGGCGATTTGTGTCCAGCCCTTTTCCCGTAAACGCCATATTTTTTACTCTCCCACAGTTGAGTAAATGATCAGATGTCAGAAGGTGAAACTGAAACCACATTGTTTTGTTTGCAAAGGTTATTTTTCTTCTAAATCATGCTCTGGAAAATTGAATGGACAGACCATTATGTAGTGCTGTATCGGTTACATGCAGTAGACAGCAACTAATGCCACCGTTAAAGGATTGGTTTAATGTTACAGTAGTTTAAATACAGGGTTCAAGTACACAGAGGGGTCACTCTAAATACCATAGGGGCAAGCAGCATACATTACACTCCTCTGCTTCAGATGCAACGCAGCAGCTCACAGCTTCTTTTACAAAATATCTTTTTTTATTCCTTTTTTGACCATTTTTTTATTTTTGGATAGACACTTTGTGCAGCGAGTTGGACCAAGAGAGAAAGGCTCGTTATGCAATACAGCAGAAGCTAAAAGGTAATTTTATCTGGTCCAAAAGAGGAACATGAGTACATGTCATTTTGTGCCTTCAAACATAAATATGCAAGTGCTACTTTTTTTAATTAAACATCTGCTGTGTGATCGATATATTTGCAGTAAGACACCATTAAAGGAAAGGCTCACATTTGTTCATGGTCGTCTTAAAACAACACTCAGGTGTGCGTTGACAGTACTGTTACTCTCTTTAGTTGTTCTTTCTGTCCATTAAAGGGAATCCCGTCTTAAAGAAACTTCAATATCAGTGGTGGGGAAATCCACAATCTGTGTTCTGTGCAAAACAATATTCAGAAAAAACCCATCATTTGAGGCTTCAGCAACCTGAATTAGTCAAATCAAGTGTGTAACTTCTAATGTTTGTTATTTTATACAAAATGTTCTATTTGTTTTTGGTCACTAACAGGAAACACGGTCTATACGTGTGTTTATGTGGAAACGCTGAAAATGAATAAGAAAAACTAGAAAGATTACGAAAACGTATATTTTTACTCTTTGCTGAGGTGGAAAGCTGAAGTTCTGATAAAAGTCAAGATGTGACGAAGTTTAATGGAAAGCCATGACGTGTATGAAGCATGTGACGTTAAGAGTCCACCAAACACACTAAAGATGGCGGCAGGCAGTAAGATGTGTGCGCAGCCTTGAGGAGACTGTAACCTTCCTCTCTACAAAAATGTCCTCCACCATGGACCACAGAACGCATGTGCACAGGGTGGGATATGTATATATTACTATGTATACTATATATATATTACTGATGAGTATGAGTATTGAGTAATATTATACATTTTTAATCTGACACCCAGGCCAGGCATCAAGATGAAGTAACTCAGGGGGCTGTTTAAACATGCAAAGGAGCAATGCTATTTATTAAGTAAAATTAATTGATTCAAACATGCAATCACAAAGGTTAAATACAAACAAACATGAGTCTGCTGTTTTCAGAATCAAAGAATATATTTATTAATGTGAGCAAGAATGTAGCAGAGCGCTAAATATTTTTAGAATTTATGAACAATTCTTTGTCAAAATCAGAAGACAGAGGCACGTAAACAGATGTTTGCAGCTTGCAGCTCCCTCTCTGTCTTTCTGTCTCCCTCTGTCTCTCTTGCTCCCTCTGTCTCCCTCTGTCCCTCTGTCTCCCTCTGTCTCCCTCTGTCTCTMTGTCTGCCTCCGTCTTTMTGTCTCCCTCTGTCTCTCTKKCTSCCTCYRTCTYCCTCTGTCTCCCTCTGTCTCTATGTCTGCCTCCGTCTTTATGTCTCCCTMTGTCTCTCTGTCTGCCTCTGTCTCTCTGTCTGCCTCCGTCTTTCTGTCTCCATGTCTCTGCCTCTCTCTGTCTCTCTGTATCTATACCTCCCTATCTCTGTGTCTCTCTGTCTGTGTCTCCATCTCCAACTGTCTCTCTTGCTCTCTCTGTCTCCTTGACTCTCTGTCTCCCTCTCTACCTCCC